AATATAATTAAATAAATGTAAAAAAACATTAAAAATAAAATACAAAACAAAATAAAAAATAAAAAACTATAAAAAGTATAAAAACATTAAAACACAAAAACAAAAAAAAATAATGGAACCGATATCCCATCACGTCCTCGATCGTGGTTCTGGATTTTAACTAAGTATGGGATATTTTGAATCTATGGCACATTCACTTTGTTTGTATGTGTATTCAATACACATTATTATATTGTTCGTAGAATTTTATATTTACACGCGTTTGCTAATTCCTTATAATATATATATGAATTTTGATAAATATTCAATTTCCCATTTTTCAACATATACCTATACCTTATTATTACAAAAACGAGTATATAAATATTTTGGAATAATCGAAATTATTTGTATATAAGTCCGTCATATTGAACCTGGTATATCGAACTTTGTCATTGTAACATCTAATTAGATTACAGCAACTCAAAAAATCCTGTAGATTATCTATTTCAGGCAAACATTCTTGCACTTATGTCGGCCATATTGAATCCGCCATATTGAATTTCGAAATTATCAGTTCAGATTCAAATTCAGCGAAAACCTTTAGAGACCAAGTTTCATTTCATTACAACAAAAATTCGCTTAAGAATTCAATTATGACCCGTCTTTTGCTCATCCAGCTCACTATGCCGTTGAGTTCATATCGAATTTCATCATACATAAATGCCACGCAATTATTTACAAGCGTCGTTGGCGTCTGATCGTTTTTCTTTTTCACCGTCAATCTTCCTTCGACGTAAAGAAAACTTTCGCACGGTAACGTGTACAAATCCTGTTGCTGTATGGGTATTGTTATTTCATCGCTGTACCCGAACGTTGTATTGGCGAACGGGTTGTACGTGTGAGTCTCGATCTTGACGATGCGATCATCAAAGATCGGCTCATCGGTAATATTCAAGATATCAATCATCTCAAAAGTTGCGCACCGCGAATCCCAAAGATTGTAAAAATTTAACGTTCGACGCGTTAAGCTTCTTCTTGCTGATGCAACCGGATGAGCGAATGTTATCGAGCTGTGACGTCACCGGCCTTGTAAAGAATTCGTTATCTCTCTTCGTGCGCTCCGCTCCGTTCAATACGAGCATTTCACGCTCCCGTTATAGACGGGGAGGCCGAGAGGCTAAATGTGGATTTACTCGAGCATCGTGGGGACCTATTGGATTGTGAAGATTAGATGCTAAAAAGAAAAAAAGGTTATATGATTGTTCGGAATTAGAGCGTTAATTCGTGCGGTCGTCGAGATCGCTCGAGAAACTTCTTTGCTTCGAATCTTTGTTGATTCGACTTTCGAGCAAATGCTCGACGTCGAGAGCGAGTGTTTGTGTGCCGATGACGACGGGAGTCTTTCGACACAGAAAAAGGGCCCTCGTCGTACTTGGTGTGTTACCCCCTGATTCGTCGCTCGTTGCTGGGCCGATGTTATCGGCGAATCGCGTTATCGCTTCCCAAATCAAAGCCGCGAGCCGTTCGAGTTCGCGCGACGAAAGTCAGTACGAATCTGGAGAGCGACGGGTCGAGAGGGCTCCGTCCAAGCGAACCCGGCGCAAAAATAAATCGTCTTAATTGTCGTTAACGGGGGAACCAGATCGAAGGCTCCCGCCGCCGGCAACAAAGTGGTCCTTCGAGCCGGATCTCAGTGAAAACCGGATACGCGACTCTCCGTTCGTGCTCATCAAGCGGGCGCACAAAGTGCTCCGCCGCATCGGAAAGGTAACGGACGTCGCAACTCGCGTCCGTCGGTGCGTCGAGTCCCGCGCCGAAGCCTTACAAACTTCGCTCGCGGAAGGTGACACTCGCGAAATCCGCTGCTACACGCGTTTCGCGGAGTGAAATTATCGTGCTACTCGCGGACGCGCCTTACGCTCCGTCGAGCCAGTGACTCACGCGGACGCGGCTCCACGCGTTTCGCGTAGTGAAATTATCGTGCTACTCGCGGACGCGCCTTACGCTCCGTCGAGCCAGTGACTCACGCGGACGCGGCTCCACGCGTTTCGCGTAGTGAAATTATCGTGCTACTCGCGGACGCGCCTTACGCTCCGTCGAGCCAGTGACTCACGCGGACGCGGCTCCACGCGTTTCGCGTAGTGAAATTATCGTGCTACTCGCGGACGCGCCTTACGCTCCGTCGAGCCAGTGACTCACGCGGACGCGGCTCCACGCGTTTCGCGTAGTGAAATTATCGTGCTACTCGCGGACGCTCCTTGCGCTCCGTCGAGCTAGTGACTCGCTAACGCGGCTACTCGCGTCTCGCTCGTGCATTGACTCTTGCGGAAAACGCGATTTGCGTTCCGCCCGTAACATTGACTTTCGTCGATGCGACGAGCTCCTCGTTTCGAAAAATAATTCGCGAATGCCGCTACGAGCACC